TAAATTATTGTGAGCAAAAAACATCAGCAATTAAGTATCTTTAAATATTATTCTTTATTAGAATGGTGCTTCCCAAACATTTTACTTCAATCTGTTTTTTCTTATAGGATCACCATGACATTTACCTGTTTCCTTCGGGTTCATAATTTGTATGTAACAGTCTTAAAACACACCTAAAAACTGCAGTATTACTATAGGGTCAATATAAAAGTTCATAAACTCTAAACATGTTTCGCTACAGGAAACAGATTAGCTTCCACTATCAATGCACTTGAAATTTTAAGTTCTTATGTAGAGATTTTAGAGCCCACTTAAAGCATTTAACTAAACATCTCTAAGCTTCTAGCACAATAATAAGATTAAAAAAAAAAAATCATTGCACTGGATGTAAAGCCAGAGCCAGCCAAGGGTCTCGTCAGTGATTATCAGGCTGTGTAGCTGGGGGCTAGGGTGAAAGATACTGTTTCCTGTCACAACTGAGTTCACAATCCAATTCAAGGGCTAAGGGGAGGTCTGCACATATAACCAGACTGTTATATGTAGTGCTACCCCTACCTGCTTCCCTAGGAATGCAGAGAAAGGTCAGAGTGAAATGGAGTGGTCCGGGAGGGCTCCTGGAGACGGACCTAGAAGCTAAGAGGAAGTGTGATGTTTGTGTTGGCTAAAGGAATTTACTGGGAGCAGAGAATGGCCCAGATAAAAAGGTGGCATGTGTGGGCAGGAAAGAAGGCTGCACTGCCAGCACCTCGGCCCAGACAAGGGTATGAAACTAGTGAGAGAGGCCCGCAGCTGCCCACTATTAATTCCTAACTTTAAGTAAAGGCAAGAATTCACATTGATGGCAAAGGTTCTCTTTTCCTCTCACAATTAGCTCTTTATACGCTTTCATCTGGCCTAGGCAAGAAAAATCTTTTGTCTAGGATGCCATAGGTATAGTGTGGCGTCGAAGTGAGAAAAAACTATGACTTTCTGTGGCCCCATCAAGACCTATGATTCATGTTTCATGGAAAATATTGAGAAATGTTCCATTAGAATAGAATCTGCTTTCACAGCATATTGGATGTTTCCTGTGTTTTTCTTCCTTCATTATCACCAAGGACATTCCCATGAAAACAGAATCTTTTTTTCTCCCCCAGAATAACCATGTTCTTTACATTGACTTGCTCTGAATTTCCAAACTGCCTTTTCACAGCATCACAATGAGCTCTGTGGCCTTTCTAGCGATGCTAATGTCCTATAGACAAAAATTATTCAGCTAACAAACTCAAACCACAAGCAATGGGGGTTGACCTCATATGGTGCAGATTTCAAAGTTTCCAGGAAGGCGCAGCAACCCATTTCACTCCCTATCCCTAGAACACCTCCCCCCCACAGCAATCCCTAACTTGCTGGCTAGTGTTGAGTGTTGAAATAGCAAAGTTATTAAGTTGACATTTTCAACCATGGCGTAAGCAGCGGGTATGACTTCAAAATTTCCAGGAAAACCACTATCACCAACTACACTCCCAACAACAACAAAAAACTGCTTCACCACCTGCCCGCTGCTGTTGAAAGAGCATAACTAGAGTTTTTTCGTTCTCTTAACTTTAACCTCTACTAAAATGCAAATGCTTCTTTCAGGAGTTTCCATTACAACATAACACAATTTCAGATCCTTTCCTAGTAGGTTTTTTTAAAGGCAAGCAGGAAGAGATTGCTTCTCCACTGTACAGGCCCTCTCCCATTGTACCCCTCCTCTTCCAGCAGCTGGAGCTGGAAGCCCCACCTGGCTCAGCCCACCTGAACTCTGGGCCCAATCCTGACTTTGGGGTGAAATAATTTAAAGAGTTCTAAATCAATAGTTCCTGTATCACACTGTCTGCTCTTAGTACTATTAACACAGTGCCTTATCTTACTCCATTAAAGACCCAATCTCCACCATTCACTTTTCTTTGCAAGCCATCTCTATCTCATCCTGGCCATCTGAGTACTCTCATCCTGGTAGCCTGCCCAGAATCCTGTTACTCCAGAAACAGGAACTCTCCTTGCTCTGTCACATGCTCAGGGAGAATGGAGCCCTACTATTTGAGGTCATGCTTCCATGTAAAGCCACAAAGCAGGGCAAAACAGAGCTCATGCTCTGGAGTCAGACATACCAGAGGTGAAAACTTGACTCTGCCTCTTTCCAGCTGTGTGACTTCAGGTGTGTGAATTAACCTCTATAGGCCTCAGCTTCCTCATGTGTACCTATCCTACCCATTAAATATGAGCAAATACATAGTATAAGAGCTGAATAAATATTAGCAATGGCAGGGATGTCAATCAGTGAAAGGATAACAATTTGTGTTGGAATTTGCAACTAGGTTGTCTGTTCCCACATTGTGTCGATATGCTCTACCAACCTGGAGTCACTAACTCACATTAGAGCTCAAATGAAGGCTTTCAGGGGTGGAGGGTTGAGTGCCTGCCTGTTATACATTAGCAATGGGTCTGGACTCAAGGTTCTTTCCAGTTTCATCCTGTTGCCCCAGCGCATGCCAAGCCCTAGCCAACCACGCAATTCCAGGTCCTAGTCCCTTCCATCCTGTCCTAGTCACTTCAATTAATTGGCCCAGGTACCACTATGCCCCAAACAAAGATAACCATAGTATCTAGGTATTCAGAAGAGAACAAAGAATAGGAAGGCTGGGTAAACCAAAGATAAATGGCTCAACAATTCTGCTTTAATCCAAGGCATTTTTTGAAATCACTGGAAGGGGTGTTAGTGTCACTTATCTCCAAGTATCATCATGAATAAATACAAAGCTCCCATTGTGAACAGAGCAATATCCTTGCAACACTCCCTGCAGAGCAGGCCAGTTACTGACATGGACTCAGGAAAAAAGTAGGGGAGAGGCTAACTAAATGCGCGCGCGCGCGCGCACACACACACACACACACAGCTCAGACACAAAAATTAAAAGCAGGTGGCTTGAAAGACTGGATTTTATCTATGTTCATCTATCAGCAATTTGCCTTTATAGATTCTATTAAGCATGCTCAGTTGTAAAGGGACACAGTCTACCTGCCAATTCAGGAGGCTCCAATGTTACCAAGCCCAAAGTCTCAACTGCTTTCTTACCGAACTGAAACCATCAGCTTCATTCTAATAAGTGAGCAGATTTTTCATCTCGTTTTTCTGGTGTGACTATTTTTTTAAAGATACAGAATGGATTCTGAATTTTATTTGTTGATAATATCCATCTATTAAAGTACTATATGGAGACAGAAAGTTCTCTATCCCTATACTATTTTAAAATATTTATTTCCTCTCCTCTTTAACCTGAAGTTTCTTCATGTGATTTATCAACAAAGACTAGGTTTTGTTTTTAAGTGGTTTAGAACACCACAGATAAATTTCAGGGACACAATGGTCAGAGAAATGCAATCACTAAAAACACTAGCAAAATGGTTAAGTCATTTCAGATTAACTGCAATTAAAACTCATTAGGCTTGACTCTTAGAAAATACATTTATTTCTCAAAAAAATGTTTTTCCTCAAATTTTATTCACATAGGTACAAAAAACAAGTAGTAAGCTTAAAAGCAGCATGCTCTCTTATGCAACGCAATAGAAAAATCAACATTTTCCATGTAGCTCATTATGGAAAACTAAAGGAAAGGCCTTTTTTTCCTCGTTTGTTAACACACTGGGAAGCAAGTCCAGATATTAAAAATAAGCCCTCTGATCAGGTTCCAGTGCAATCAATAATCTGGTATTGAATTCAATTACATGCCAATTTACCATAATCCCAATCACTGCCGAAAACGGCTGTAACAAACAGTGCTCTCCAACACCGCATTGTTCACCAGCTAATATAGGTCTGGATTGATCTTCCTACAGAGAACTCTATATGGATCAGAGAGCCTAAGTTGCTTCTTTCCAAGGTGAACTACAGACAAGAGGCATTGGTATTACACAAACTAAAAACTAACTGAAATGCCTTAGGAGCTGTACACATATAAAGAGCTACACTCAAGAAGCCTCACCTACACCTAGAACTTATTTAGGTGACAAGATTCTGGGCTGCGAGCTGATGCTAGAATAGAATAAGACTTCTGAAGATCTTGGGAGGGAGTGTTTTGCCTATGGGGTGGACATAAATTATTGGGGGTGGAAGATGGGCTGTGGTGGGCCGCTTTCTAAGATGGCCCCCAGTGGTTCCTGTCTGCTGGTATTCACACCTTGTATAATCCTCTTTCTTGAATGGGCTGCACCTAGTATGCCCGATTGTCCTCTAGTTGCTGCTGAGATGAAGCCAGCTGCAGTAATGTAAGCACCCTCATGGAGAGGCCACTTAGCAAGAAACTGAGGAAAGCCACCTGCCAATAGCCTGCAAAAAAAACGAGTCCTGCCAACAAACACTTGAGCGAGCCTTAAAACAGACTGACCCCCAAACATGCCTTACAATGACGGCAACGCTAGCCCACACCTGGATTTCTTGAGAGGTCTAGAGCCATAGGACACAGCTAAGCTATGCTAAAATTATTGACCCACTGAAACTGCAAGATAATAAAAGTTGTTTTAAGCCACTAAAGTTGGAGGTAATCTGTTACTCAGTAATAAATAACAGACACTTACTATAGATTTTATCGCTAAAAGCATCATTTGGATTGTATCACAATATATATTTGAAACTTTAATTTGAAAAAGTACTCGCTGTTCTCAATTGGAGTTTTAGGGTCTTTTAAAATCTCTGCATTTTTCAGGTCTAACAATTTCAGTAATAAATGAAGCCTCTGCAAGCTTTCCTAAGTTAAATTAATTCACTTAAGTCAATAGGATACTAGAGGCATTTAACTTTGTCCCTTACATATCAGAGGCCTACATCAGCATTAAGTATCCCCTATTTGACAGAAAGAAAAAAAACCAAGATCAATTCTACTTCTAGAAAATCACATGCAAACGGAGAAAAACTTTACTTTCTTAAAATACTAAAGGAAAAATCCATTGATTAGAAAGTTTACAAGAAACTGCCTTACCTTGAATGCACTGAAGGGTTCCATCCTCCGCTCTTATTGTAAAAGTCTCACCTGGATTAACTTGAACGAGAATAACCTGCCAAAATAACACATTAATTTCAATTTAATACTAGACCATCTGGGATTTCTCTTCAACAGTTATACTACCTAAATTTATATACTAGACAGGAAGTATGTGGCATAGGATCTTGTATAAACACAAAGCTTAGGATAAAGTCTTAGACCTGTTTCAAATGTGAAGGGAGTAAGTACGTGCATTTAAATTTAGCTAAGTGAGTTCTCCTGCTTATGATGTTACATAACTAAAAAACTCAATTTTAAGATACTCTTTCTTTCCCACAATTCCTTTTGTTCTTTCACTAATTTAGAAACGACGGTTAAAGAAGAAAGAAGACCAGAAACCATACTTATAAAGGAAAATTGCGCAGAGAAATGAGGTTCTGATCTAACACTGTTGCATTCCATCCCTGAGGGTCTCTTACTGGCCTAGGTTATATTATTCTACTGTGTAACAATAGAAAGCAATGTATAAAAAAAAATATTTGGGGTAAAAAAAAGTATCTGTGTATAGGGTCTGGAAATAATCATGAACAGTACAAAATAAATCAATAACATTACAAATAGGCCCCAAACCAAACAAATTTTTAAATCTATTACATAAATGCCAGTGTTTTAGTCATATGAACACAAATATTTAATACTAGAAGACAACTTCCAAAAGACTGGACCAGCCATGGAAATGACAAAGTATGTCCTTTCAAAAGCCTCAGGAGGGTCAGCCGAGTGGCTCAGTTGGTTAAGAGTTTGCTCAAGAGTGTGAGCTCTGAGCAACAGGGTTGCCGGTTTGATTCCCGGCCTGAGCTGAGCTGCCAACAGGTGGCAGGATGGCTCAGTTAAAAAAAATAAAAAATAAAGCCTCAGGATTTTAGTTCTAATCTAATTTAGTTCCTTTAGATACAAAAAAAAAAAAAAACATGGGGGTGCGGGAGGGATCACTCATTTATATCTAAATACAAATTAAAAACGTAATCCAAGCTTAAAAACTGTAGTCAAAAAATCAACGTGTGCAAGGTTAACACTATTAATTACTGTGTGTTTCTAGAAATTGGAAAGATGTCAGTGTCTTTCATCTTACAGGTCTTGGAGCAAGCGCTGCTCCCTCCCTGCCATGAAACCATCAACACACTGTTCCCCGTGTCTGTAATGCTCTTCCTGTACTCCTCCACCTCTGCCCGCTGTCCACCTTCCTCTTTCCCCAACCAGCTAAAGCCCATTCATCCTTGTCAGCGTAAGAAACTGCATGACTCTCAGAACAGGCCAGGTCCCCAACTATATGTTCTCAAAAACACAAAACAAACCAAACAAAACAAAACAAAACAACCCCAACCCTCTACTTCTCCTTCCTAGAATTACAATTGCAATTAATTAAGCAATTATTTTAGTGTCTGTCTTTCCTTCTTTAATCCAGGCTCCATAAATACAAAATCTGGAGGTCCTCAAAACTGTGCCTGGCATAGGCATGCTCGCTAACTATTTTTACTGAGCTGTAAAACTGAAAAACCATTGCAAACAATTATTTTAACTTAGAAATTAAGCTTTCTTAACATGTAATTTAAAAGTCAATTTTATGTACTGTATGTACAATAATTTATCTGTTTTGTAAATTTGAGATCAAAACCATCTCATCTTTAGAAATGAAACCTTTAATATTCATGTATTTTGCTTCGTCTATAAATCACCACAGAAGACACTGCTAGAACATTAAAAAATTTTTAAATCAGAAAATAAATTAACTGGAGAAAACAGGATCATTCAGCAAAAAGCAGTCCAAGCTTCACTCCTGATGCTTCTCATTATCTTGAAATATAACAGTTATTTCAAGGCAATCTAGTTTTCCTGAACAGTAACTGCGTCGATAATCTTTCAGTCTCAAGTATTCAAAATTCTCACCAATGTAAATACATTGCACCATTTTAAGAACTCAAAAGGATATCCCTTGATATCTACAAGTGATTAAAACATTTCAATTTCTTCAAACTGAGCTTTTAAACTCATTCCCAACATGAAAATTGTTTTAACTTTATTTTTACATAAACACAGACTCTAACTCGACTACAATTGAATAAAACAATACTCCAGTAAAGAAAATTACCCATGTCATTTTTTTTTAAGTCCTTAGGCCAATTCTAACAACCATCTACTTTTGTGTTTATACCTCTAGGTATAGGCCTGTAATATACTCCTGTAGAATTAATTAGTTGGAAAAAAAAATTCATTGGCCTCCAAGACTATGTCCCAGATATTCTTTGACAATACCAAATTCATATGCCCTCTTCCTCCACAGTCATAATTGTCAGACGAGTCCTGAATGCTGCTTCTGAAAGTACAATTCACAGTATTATGGAAAAAGTCCCAGGCAAGAAAAGGGATTTCTGAATTGGCATATGCGCCCGATTCTGTCACGTTATCTGCTTATCATATTGCATGAAAAGTGTCTGTAACGGTTCTTAGTGGACGCTGACACCAGGCCACAATTCAAAGAATGGCCCAGAGGCATCCAGCCACCAAAAGCCAATTGATGCCTTCCCCTCTCTGCTTCCACTGAAGCCAACTCCCAACCCCCATTCCGCTTCTTCAGGGAGAAAGATGATAGGTAAAGGGCTTTTAAGCATCCTGCTAAAATACCTCTCTTCAAATGTTTAGTTCCTGTAATTTTCCCTGCTGCTGGGTTGCTATGGCAACTAGATTTTGATCTACTGAGTTACCTCAGAAACCAGGCAAATCTCCTGTGTCCCAATATCAATTTTTCTTAGTAAGAGCCAAAGTCATTATTTGAGCAAACCGTATTCATCCTGGCACCAACCTATTTTAAATGAAAGCATTTTATTTTACTGAGGCAGAATGACCACCTTGCTGTTTTCCCTGTCAATAAAGGAGAGATAAAAATAAAGTTTTGACACACAGCAGCCCTATGGTCTGTCCCTGACAATAGACATGAATGAGAAGGCGGCAGCGGCCTTGCATCACGCAGCCCTGAGGAGCATGAGTCACACCCTGGCAGGCTCCCTGGCACTTAACCTTTTGTGTCATACAAGTCAGTCAGTCTCAAGTCTCTCTCTCTCTCTCTCTCTCTCTCTGCCCCCTTCTCTTCCTCCCGCCCTCCTTCCTTCTCCAGCCACAACGCAGACATGACTGTTACAAGTTCTCTTAAATACAGAATGTGAAGCATAACCTCACCATCCAAACCTCATCATTTTTTGTCCACTCACTAAGCATTTCCTGCTTTTTCCAAAGTCAGCAGTAAAACAATTCATGCATTCTGTCACAGTAAAAAAGACTAAGATTTTAACCATGGATAGATTTTTTTTTTTTTTGTCCCCAGAGATGTTAAAATAGAACCATGTTAACCAAACCATAAGAGCATACTCCAGGCTACTGTTGCGTCATCAGATCTGTCTCAGATCTCTTAGTGCTACATAAACCAAGCAGCCCCGGACAACCAAAGGCAGCTTATCAAGGCTTTACGAAAAATAAGTGACTATTCTTCCAAAGTCTAAAGAAACAATAAAATAAGAAATAGAATACAGTTGAGCAAAAGGCTAAACACAGCATCCTAGGAAAGCTTTACCCAACAAGACAACTGAAAATGTGTAACAGATCTTTCCTTAAGTCTAAGGGCGGCCGGTTAGCTCATAACACCAAGGTTGCAGGTTCAATTCCAACATGGGCCAAGGAGCTGCGCCCTCCACAACTAGAGAGAAGAGAGCTACCTGACGTGGAGCTGATGGGTCCTGGAAAAACACACTGTTCCCCAATAAAATTTCTAAAAAAACATGTAAGTCTAAATCTGTTTTTTACTCATTAAACAAGGAAAACAGAAAACTACTTACTCTTGCAATTTAAATTTGGGGTGGCTGATTCATCAGAAGATCAATAGTATCTAAGACTACTCCTGCAGGCAAATTCCTAATGCATGCCTCAAATAAAAAAATTACCAGCCGCCTGACTAAACAATCACTGCCGCGTAAGTGTCCATCGCAGAAGCTTCTGATGGGAGACCAACAGTGCTGACTGACCAAGGATGAAATGTTACAGTCATAGCATTCTTAAACGTTAAATCCAATACCCAGACAATGGAGATATGAACTGTGCTGGGAGAAGAGATTCCATTTCACTTTTGGAGCTTTTTTCCACTTGCCACACTCAGTGAGGTCTTACTACTAGCTGTTTCATGGATAAACGGACACTTCTCACTTGGAGTCAGCATTTGATCATCCAACAGACATCTTTAGAGGAAAAAATGAAACATCCTGAAAGATGCGGAATAGCCCATGTAAGGACTGATTCTATCCAGGAATATAATATCTAATAATTTTTAAAAAGTGACCTGTGACTACAAAAGAGGAACAGTTAACACCTTTCTTCTCCTCCCTCTCTCCCTCCCTCTCTTTCTCTCTCTGTTCTCAAACTCCAGAGAAATCCTGGAGAGCTCAACTCAGGGCCTGGAGGACCCAAACCATCCAACAATACACACCTTTAATACCCTGGTCTCTTATCCACAGGCCACAGCTGGCCTCAAACAAACTGAAAAGTATGCATCATTTGTTTTCTGAGTCTCTTTTTCTCAAAATCAGGAAAAAGGAGAGCTGCAAATGATCAATAATTATCTTTGTGGTAATGACATACACAAAGACAATGTCCCAAGATTTAAAATGTGAGCAGGTAAAATAGAAAGGTAGTGGAAGATGATGGGAAAATACTGATTGCCTCACCTGTCCTACTTGAAGCCTGAATGCAAAACGGGCAAGAAAAGAACATACAAGACCAGGGAGCCTCCAAGAATGCTTACACACTGAGTCAAGGCACAAGGACACGCGTGGTATGTAAAACTCTTCCTTGGTCAATACCACTAATAGGGTAAATTGGTTGTTTTGTTTCTTCCTGGGCTTTAGGAATCATTCAATTTAAAGCAAGGAGCAAGAATACTCCAATGCTCCAAAATTTTTCATACTCTGACTCCCTCAAAGGATGGAAGGTTGAAAAGTTGTCCCCCTCAACAGACCATTTCATCTCTCT